TTTGAGAAATTGGACACATGGATGGCTCCCATTGTTTTTCCAGGTATCTAGGTTAGAAAGATGAGAAATAAATTAAGAACATCCAAAGGATGCTAATACTGTTAGCCCATTTATATTTCCCTCTTACTACTCATGATTTCTGTTCTAGGTCCCCGAACTCAAACTGGAGCTCAAGCTTCGCGGCCTCCCTGTATCAGGAACTAAAACCGATCTGATCGAAAGGCTGAAGCCCTTCCAAGATCTTCCCAGCTCCTCAGCTCCCACCACTAGTCCCACGCCCATTCCTACCACTCTGACCGCCATCCCCATGGAGACTACCACGACCAGCCCCGCCATTGTCCATCCAACCATGAAGGGAGCTTCTGAGAACATGAGCGCCACACCCCCAGTCTCCCCTGTCCCTACTGATCCATTCAGCCTCCACCAGGATGCCAGCATGTCCGAAGTTCAACACGAAATGCAGTTGGCGCGCTCTGGCTCAAGAGGGCCCGGATCCTCACCTCTCTCTGATTTGAGAGTCCCTGAGAAGGACAGGAGGCTTCATGAGAAGCAGCGACAGATTGAAGAGTTGATGAGGAAGCTTGAGCAGGAGCAGAAGTTGGTGGAGGAGCTCAAGATGCAGCTGGAGGTAGAGAAGAGGAGTCAGAGCAGCTGTACCACCAACGTTCCCTCAGTAACTTCCAAGCTGACCACTGGTTCATGTTCAATTAGCCCCGTTTCAACAGTCTTGAACGCCAACGCTGTAAAACCAGAGAAAACGGTCTTGACAAACTGCTCTCCAGTTTCCTTTCCGAACTCGATGCTGGGCTCCCAGGCTCTCACAACCCCACAGCAAACTATGGTCAAGTTGGAGGACGTGACTCTTTCTTCTGGAAAGCCAATTCAGCTTCAACCCCAAACTCGGCTTCTCACCCAAACCCAGGACCAAGTAAGCACTAGCCCACAGCTCCTCTACCATTCCCAGAGAAGTCCCAAACTTAAGACCCAGCCGCAGTCCCAACCTACCACCCCCAACCTGCAGCAGTTCTTCATCAGCCATCCCGGGGGGGTGTCCCAGGTGCTCGGTCAACCGCAGACCTTGTTAACCACATCTGGACAGACTCCGACTCTGCTGACGACAAGTGGCCAGACTGCAACTCAGATCCTGCTCCCCGTATCACTGCCCAACAATGCCACCGCCATCCAGCTGCCAAG